AGCGGCAAAGAGAAGAGTTCAAAGCCCAACAAGGGTGGAGAACAGCAGAAGCCTTTCAAGGAGGGTTCTCGCACTCAACAACACCAAGGTGGTTCGAGCAAAGGGGGTAAGTACGAACCAATGCCCGTATCTTGTTTCCTTTGCGACGGACCACATCGAGTGCGGGATTGCCCAAGGAAGGCGAGATTGGCGGCCATGGAAGCTCAATATGAGGAGCCCAAGGCGGCGGAGGCAAGCTTGGCACGGTGAAGACCGACGTCAAGGAGAGCAAGCGTGGGAGGTGCTATGTTCTGGCGCAATTCATGCAAGGCCAGTCAAAAGCCTTGGTGGATACTGGTGCCACGGATAACTTCCTTCGCATCAAGGAGGCAAACTGCCTGGGTATTGCCTACGGGAAGGGGCAAGGGAGGCTCAAGATGATCAACTCGGAGTCCATCACAATCCATGGAGTTGCTCACAATGTGCCAGTGAAGCTTGGCGAGTGGGAAGGCCTCATCGACTTTTCCATCGTCACCATGGACGATCACCCAGTCATCCTCGGCATCAACTTCCTCAACAAGAAGGGAGTGCTCTTGAAGCCCAACTCCAACACGATGTGCTTGGAGAAGGAAGGGGAGTTCCATGCGGTCCATCTCTTGAGAGAAGATGGCCCCCATAGTGCTCTATCCGCTATGCAGGTATTGAAGGGGTTCAAGAAGAATGAACCAACCTTTCTTGTGTCCTTGAAAATGGAGGAAGAAGGAGGCTCAACGGGAATCACAACTCCCATCATCGAAGGCGTCCTCGAAGAGTTCGATGACATGATGCCATCGGAGTTGCCCAAGAAGCTGCCACCAAGAATAGAGGTGGACCACAAGATCGAGTTGGAGCCAGAAGCAAAGCCCCCTTCGCGAGCACCATACCGCATGTTGCCACCGGAGTTAGAAGAATTGCGGAGGCATCTCAAGGACTTGGTGGATGCAGGCTACATGCGGCCATCAAAGTCACCTTTTGGAGCACCGGTGTTGTTCCAAAAGAAGAAGGAAGGGTCGTTGCGCATGTGCATCGACTATAGAGCCATCAACAAGTTGACGGTGAAGAACAAGTGGCTGATTCCCAACATTGTTGACTTGTTCGAACAGCTTGGAGATGCGATGTGGTTCACCAAGCTAGATTTTCACTCGGGCTACTATCAAGTGCGGATAGCAGAGGGCGACGAGCCAAAGATGGCTTGTGTGACGAGGTATGGCTCTTACGAGTTTCTTGTGATGCCATTCGGTCTCACCAACGCACCAGCCACGTTTTGCATTTTGATAAATCAAGTGTTCGAGCCATTCTTGGACCGATTTGTCGTGGTTTACTTGGATGACATCGTCGTGTATAGCAAAACACTCGACGAGCATCTACGCCAAGTCTTGCAAGTCCTTCGCGACAACGAGTTGTACGTCAAGAGGGAGAAGTGCACATTTGCCGCCACGGAGGTTCCATTCTTGGGGCACATCATTGGTGGAGGCAAGTTGAAGATGGATGGGCGAAGGTGCAGGCAATCCAAGAATGGGAGCCGCCGACGAAGGTGCCAGAGTTGAGGTCATTCCTCGGCCTTGCCAACTACTATCGAAGATTTATCAAGGGCTACTCCAACATTGCAGCACCCTTGACGGATCTCTTGAAGAAGAACAAGGCGTGGGATTGGTCGGAAAGGTGCCAAGAAGCATTCGAGGCCTTGAAGGCAGCGGTGATGAAGGAGCCCTTGCTCGTGCTACCCAACCCGACGTTGGCCTACGAAGTGCAGACCGATGCATCCGACTTCGCAATTGGAGGTGTGTTGATGCAAGATGGGAATCCCATTGCCTTCGAGATTCGGAAGCTTAGCGAGACGGAGAGGCGATACACCGTTCAAGAGAAGGAGATGACGGCCGTGGTGCATTGCTTGCGCACATGGAGGCACTACTTGTTGGGGTCAAAGTTCGTAGTGAAGACGGACAACGTGGCAATGAGCTACTTTCTGACACAGAAGAAGCTCACCCCTAAGCAAGCGAGGTGGCAAGACTTTTTGGCCGAGTTCGACTTCGTCATGGAGTACAATCCAGGCAAGGCGAATTCCGTTGTCGATGCTCTTAGCCGCAAGAGTGCAGCCGCAAGCATCAGCCAGCCCATGTTTCCTTTGAAGGAGCGGATCGTCGAAGGGCTTGGCCATGACCCCTTCGCCAAAACTGTAGCTGAGTACATCGAGCAAGGTAAGACTCGACGGTTTTGGATGAAGGATGGGCTCATCGTGACCAAGGGAGAGTGGGTGTTCGTGCCAAGATGGGGCAACTTGAGGAAGGAGATCATGAAGGAGTGCCCTGATTCCAAGTGGGCAGGCCATCCCGACATCGAGAGAACGCAAGCCCTCATCGAAGAAGCATACTTCTGGCCGCGTATGAGAGACGACGTGGAGATGTATGTGAAGACTTGTCTTGTGTGCCAACAAGACAAGATGGAGCAGAGAAGCCCGACAGGCTTGCTAGAGCCCTTGCCCACGCCTCAACGACCATGGGAGAGTGTAAGCATGGACTTCATCATCGGACTTCCCAAAGTCGATGAATGTGGTTGCATCATGGTTGTGGTGGACAGGTTCTCGAAGTATGAAGTGTTCATTCCTGGGACAAAAGACTTGATGGCGGAGGATGCGACACGTCTATTCTTCAAGAATGTGGTCAAGTATTGGGGCATTCCTAGCAACATTGTGAGCGACAGAGATGGGCGCTTCACGGGCCGATTTTGGCGAGAGTTGTTCAAGATCATGGGCTCAGACTTGAACTTCTCGACGGCATTTCATCCTCAAAGCGACGGACAGACGGAGCGGGTGAATGCCTTGTTGGAGGTGTACTTGCGGCACTACGTGAGTGCAAACCAGCGAGATTGGGTGAAGTTGATGGACACTGCACAGTTCTCCTACAACTTGCACCGCAGCGAGTCGACAAACACGAGTCCATTTGATTTGGCGACGGGGCAACAACCTTTGACACCTACGATGGTGGCAACGGGATATAGGGGCAACAGTCCGGCAGCCTACAAGTTCGCTAAAGGCTGGCACGAGAAGATGGAGATGGCCAAGTCTTACTTAGCCCGCGCTAGCAAGAAGATGAAGAAATGGGCGGACAAAAAGAGGCGACACTTCGAGTTTGAAGAGGGAGACATGGTGATGGTCAAGTTCTATCCTCATCGCTTTAAGCATCTCAAGAACGTGCACAAGGGACTGCTTCGCCGCTAGGAAGGGCCATTCCCCATCGTGAAGAGGATTGGCAAGGTGGCGTACAAGGTGAGGTGCCGTCGCACTTAGAGATCCATCCAGTCTTTCATATGAGCCAACTCAAGGCTTTCCACGAAGACAAGGAGGACGAGCAACGAAGAGAGTCGAAGCGCGCACCAACACTCATCACCAAGACACACGACCATGAAGTCGAAGAAATCATGGCGCGTCGTGTCATTCCTCGTCGTGGAGTACATCCAAGATTTGTGGAGTACTTGGTCAAGTGGCGCAACCTTCCGGAACGTGAAGCAACTTGGGAGAAAGAGCTCACACTTTGGAAGAATAAGGACTTGATCGAGGCATTCCATTAAGAGGACGCGACGAGGGCGTCGCGAGCATAGGTGGGGGAGGATGTCACACGTGGCAGATGAGACGCCAACAAGGTGACAACATGGCGGCTGCATATGTGTCGTGTATGGAAGACTAGAGCATAGAGATGCTCCTAGGATTCTCCACCTAAATGAGAACTTAATGGTGCACTTATGAGTCACATAATGGGTGACATTTATAAAGTGCATAATGGGGGGGACTTAATGGAGTGTACTGATGTAGAGGGACATTATGAGGGGCATTGATGCCTTGTATGAGGAGAGGCCTATATAAGGAGCCATCTCCCTCACTTGTAACTCATCCCATCATTTTTTAGAGTAATACACACTAGAGAGTTCTCCCACTTCTTTGTCTTTGCTTCCTTGTTCTTTGCTTGCGAGTGAGTTGAGAGAAGGCTGCCTAGCGCTCTAACGGAATTGAGAGCTAGGACCGCACGATAGAGAGTAAGGTCGTGACAGTATCCGCGGGTTCATGGGTACCCACGGGTTTTGTTGTAAGAAATTTACAATTACAAGTTCTTATCAAAATTAAAGTCAAATATCAATCTCTCAATACAAATTATCCATATATAAAACACTATTCTAGAAAATTCAAGCAAATCACAAATTAACTATACAAATTGTTCAACACCAATCTAGAAAACTAAAGAAAATTGAAGCAAATCACAAATTATCCACAAATAACATGTTTAATTGAAAGCTTCTTTCTTTCAATTAAGTTTCTTTACTCTCCCCTCCATAACATCAACTTCATTCTACACAATTAAAAAGAAAAAATTAGACATGTCTCCACAAACATAAATAAGAATAGTTGTTTAGAATATTAAATATACCGAAAAAATTAATTGTATGGGTGGGCGGGTATCCAAGGGTCGGGTTTACCTAAACCCAAACCCAACCTAATCCGTTGAATAGTGAACGAGTTTAAACCCAAATCCGGCCCAAAACCCGTCAACACGAATTTTACCCGCGTTGACCGGGTTAGATCGGGTGGTACCCGTGGGTTCGGGTTTTGTTGCTATCCCTAACGAAGAGGGCATCTGTCTCTCATATTCGTTCTTCGTCTTCCTCATTTTTGCATATCCAGTCGATTGTCCACCTTACCTACCACTGTCACCCGCTGCCGAATTTCTAATAGCTACCCACTCAAACTCAACAACCCTTTCATCCGACCCCACATTACACGAATAAATTGCCAACCGGAAGTTGGTTGGTGAAGTTTCAGACATCAGAAAGAAACCCAATCCGAGTCAATACTTGCTCGAGCTACCCACCAACTACGCCCAACAAACCTCAAATTTCCCTCTTTTCCCCTGTTTTCGCGATTCCTCTTCTCACGGGAATTCTTCAGTTTTCAGAAACCAAAAGCGGAGTAATTTCAAATTTCGTGCGAGGTAATGGCGCAGGTTACCAAAATCTGCAGCGGAGCTCAAAGCCCAGGCTGTTTTCCCAGTATATCAGAAACTCGAAGCCCCAAACCCCTCTCGTCGTGGGTTTCCTTTGGGTCGCACTCTGCTGGGTCTTCAAGGTTTGCAGGTTTAAAGCAATGTCGACGATTGGGTAATGTGGGTGCAGTTACCGCTCCTCCTCCTCTTCGGGTTTCGGCTTCGGTTGCAGCTGCCGAGAAACCTTCTAAGGTGCCGGAGATCGTGTTGCAGCCAATAAAGGACATCTCCGGTATTGTGACTTTGCCCGGTTCTAAGTCTCTGTCCAATCGGATTCTCCTTCTGGCTGCTCTCTCTGAGGTATGTAGAATTCTTCTGGGCTCTTGTTTGTTGAGCTACTTTCTTTTCCCTGTTTGAATGCTTGAGGATATGTTGCGGTAGGAATGAATCAGGAACATCCAAGAAGAGGAGTCTCTTCAGATTTAAGAATGGATTCAATACTGCCCCTTCTATATCAGTAGTTAGATTTGATGATCTCCCCTTAGATTGGAGAAACAATATAGCGGTTTCTTTGCTCATAGTCTCCAGCTGTTTTGTACATTTGGGGTGAAGAGTTAAGTATCGAAGATGATATTTGCCTGTATTAGTTAATTCATAGTTTCTTCACCGTTATCTTACCACATAATTAACGATCCAGGGTACAACTGTGGTGGACAACTTGTTGAATAGTGATGATGTTCATTACATGCTTGGTGCATTGAAAACACTTGGACTCAATGTGGAGCATAACAGTGAACAGAAGCGTGCCATTGTCGAAGGCTGTGGTGGCGTGTTTCCTGTAGGTAAGCAGGCAAAGAATGACATCAAACTTTTCCTTGGAAATGCTGGAACAGCAATGCGACCGCTGACAGCAGCTGTCACTGCTGCCGGTGGAAATTCAAGGTCGCCCCTCCTCCCTTTTCTGTCTTGATGGTATTCTAAATGATGCTAGTTTTCTACAATGAGACTTTAGAAATCTTTGTTTAATTGATGACTTTATTATTTTTAGACAAGTTGGTTTATTAATGGTATAGACAATATTATTGAGATTGTTACTAGTGATGAATTACCTTAGTGATGAATTTGCAATAGTAACACCGGCTTGCCTGCTCTCTATGCTTCAGTTACATCCTTGATGGGGTACCACGAATGAGGGAGAGACCTATAGGAGATTTGGTTGTTGGTCTCAAGCAGCTTGGTGCTGATGTCGCTTGTTCTTCTACAAGCTGTCCTCCTGTTCTTGTAAATGGAAAGGGAGGCTTACCAGGAGGGAAGGTGCAGAACAAGTAACTTCTTATTATTCGCTTGTTGCTTAGACCGTATCTAAGATACAGTACCTTTAACATGGTTCATCTGTCATAATGAAGTCAAAGAGAGCATTTAAGTCACTGTTCTCACATCTGTTTTCAGGTTAAGCTTTCTGGGTCAATTAGTAGTCAATACTTGACTGCTTTGCTTATGGCTGCTCCCTTGGCCCTTGGAGATGTAGAAATCGAGATTATTGATAAACTGATTTCCATACCTTATGTGGATATGACTCTCAAATTGATGGAACGGTTTGGAGTCACAGTGGAACACAGTGGTAGCTGGGATCGTTTCTTTATCAAAGGAGGCCAGACGTACAAGTAAGTTTTTCAAAATTATCAAGCATGTGGGGGGGGGGGCTATAATTAAAATTACTGAGAGCTTAGTAATCAATATCAGGTCTCCTGGGAATGCTTATGTGGAAGGTGATGCTTCAAGTGCCAGTTACTTCCTAGCGGGGGCTGCCATAACTGGTGGCACTATCACTGTTGAAGGTTGTGGAACAAGTAGTTTACAGGTACTTGAATCATGCATCTCTAAATACTCTAAAGCGTTTTCTCCCAAAACTCTTCACCGCATCTTGCGGAATTTCCTTTTTTTTCTTTTTCTTTTTTCTTTTTCCGCATTTGCAAACAGCAGCAGCCAATTTTTATATATTTTATTATTTTCTTTCACATGCTTTATTTTATTTGGTAAGTACGTGCTTTATTTTTTAAAAGACTCGTGTTTGTCCAATTTGCAAGTTCTCGAGAATTTTCTCATTGTATTTTGTTTGGTCGGTTAAAATTAATAATTGTGAAATTGTATCGGAGGTTAATAAGTCAGTAATTTTCTTAAACAAAATGTTAGTAATAAGATATTTTGTATAAAAATTATGGTTTGACTGTGATTCAATTGTTGTTTACACCATTTAAAATCACCTATCATTTAGAGTCTGATATTCAATATTTTCGCTCCAACCGGGTAGTGCGGTGGATTTCTAAAACATTGGTGAAAATACACTTGGTACTATTTTTTCAAGAATTCTTAGTTGAACCTTAGCTCAAATATCGCACTTTATAAATTGATCTATATTGTCTGGAAGATGATTTTTCAGTGTGTTTAGTTCATGAATCTTCGCATACATACAATGCATCGGGACTTTATATTATCACAATTTCAACATGAGAATTTTTTGGTAAAACATCATTGTGGGAATGAGTCAAACTTAGATAATAGACGACCTGTCATGAGATTGATGCCCAATATTGAAATTTTTTAACAATAGTATTTTATAAATTTTGCCAAAATTTAATTTGTTTTATTGAAAGTTTAATGTCTTCACTTTGAAACGTTTATTTCATACGTCAATGACTAAACATTATTTAAAAATTATTGAGTGTATAATTGATAAATTGCCTGATTCATACAAGTTAATATCTCATAAAACATAAAATTATTTATTACTTAAACTTATAGTTGGCTACATGAAATATCACAAGTATATCTTGAAAAATGTACACAAAATAGTTGAAGTATGATGATAATTAATCAGTATAGATGGATAGTGGTAATTTTTTCTTTTTTGGTTGGCTCAAAGTGGATAATTTTTTTATTATAAAAAAGATAATTAAATGGGACCCAACCGGCCAACGGCCGGGCTTAAAGCTAGTCTACTATAAAATCCTTTTGCTATCATGAGAAAATTAGCCAGCCTAGATGCTATGTCCCGTCTTCCTCTTTCCTTGAAGTGAAAATGGTATATTGTCAGGATTAAAAAAAAAAAAAAACATGTTTTAGTTTGTTATAGCTCATTCAAGTTCCTCCGCACTTCAAGTAACATGGATGTCATTGGATTATGTATAGGTTCAGGTGTATGATCCGATCTAATCCTTTTCTCTCTTTGGATGAAAATTAGGGTGATGTAAAATTTGCTGAAGTGCTCGAGAAAATGGGAGCTAAAGTTACATGGACAGAGAATAGTGTCACAGTTACAGGGCCTCCACGAGATGCCTCTGGTAGAAAGCATTTGAAAGCTGTTGATGTAAACATGAACAAAATGCCAGACGTTGCTATGACTCTAGCAGTGGTTGCTCTCTATGCTGATGGACCTATTGCCATAAGAGATGGTGAGTTGTCATATTCAACCTATGCAAAGTTGAATGCTCCATAAGGTTTTCAAGCAAACAATTTTGTTTTGTTTCTAAAACTAATCGGGCTTGAACACACAAAAGTCAAGCTGATAAGTCCACTTTGATGGCGAATTCCTTGCAATAATGCAAAGGATGTAACATCGACATTCTGTAAATTCTGAATTGCACATCTGAGTAACTTTGATACTAGTTTTGCTTTACATGCATCCTTGGATACCATTTTCACAGTTCCATGGAGATATATAGTCTCATACCACAACTCTTCACATTGTCCAATATGCAGTGGCTAGTTGGAGAGTGAAAGAGACGGAACGCATGATTGCTATTTGCACAGAACTCAGGAAGGTTGGTCGACACCTGCAATCTTCTCTCAACCCATCCAAGTTTACTAAGATCCAGAAACTGTTTGGTTTTGTTCTTCTTTGTTTGTGCTGACAATTTCAATTTGGGGTTTCAGTTGGGAGCGACAGTTGAGGAAGGACCAGATTACTGCATAATCACTCCACCCGAGAAACTAAACATTGCTGAAATCGACACGTATAACGATCACAGGATGGCGATGGCTTTCTCCCTTGCTGCTTGTGCTGATGTACCAGTCACAATAAGGGACCCTGGCTGCACAAAGAAAACGTTCCCTGATTACTTTGAAGTCCTTGAAAGGTACACCAAGCATTGAGATAATATAAACTTGAAACGCCACACCCATTACGCGTTCGCAGCAACTTGGCAACTGGTGGCATGAGAAAAGTGGGGAGGCAAAACTAGTTTGGCTATGTGTAACATTGCAATGTAAGAAATTCTGGTAGCAATTGATACTAATATATATTTTGTCACGTGGGGAGATTAATGTATGAGAAGCAACTGGGAAATGGACTGTTTGTTTATGTAGGGCTAAATTACATTTGATCACTCATTTTATCAAATTTTCCCCATTTGTCATTGAGTGTTTCTTCTTTTATTAGTCTCTCATTTTAAATTTTGTTTCATTTTTGGTCACTAGTTATTTAACTCCGTTAACATCATCTTAAATGGCGAAGATTGTTATGTTAATTAAAAAATAACCAAAAATAACAAAATAAATTATTTTTTATTTTTCAAGCCACCATCACTAAAAAATAATAAAAAGCAAGGTTATAAGTACAATATGGTCATCTATTATGCATTTTTATCAAACATGTTTTTCTACTATTTGTACATCAAAGATGCTCCTTACTTTGGGAAAAAATAGCGAACTTGTCATTTCGTTAAAATTATCATCCAAAAATCATCAGCTATCAAAAAAATTGGTAGCTCATTGTTTCTTCTAGTGCATAGTCGTGGGAAAAAATCCAAAACTACCACAGTTTTAAAAAAAATTACAAAAATACCACGCATTCCCAAGAATTTCCAAATCTACCACCATCCCCCATAAACTGCGCCTCGAAGGCACGGTTCTCATTTAAACCGCACGGGCAAGGGGCGGTTTGCCATTGGACAGCTGACAAAACGTGTCTCCACGTGGCAGTCCATGCAACCGCACGATGGGCAAGCGATCTGACGGCCTAACCGCCTACCAGCGGAGCGATCCGCGTCGCCCACGGGAAACCGTTGCCCTGAAGCGCGGTTTGCGCGTTGGGAAATGTAAACCTTGTGCTGGAGGCGCGGTTTTTGGTGGGGTGAAAAGACCAAGCTGCCCCTCCAGCACACGGTTCCTTTCCTATATAAACCCACCTCTTCCTCTCATTTTCTGCACACCAAACCCCCATTCTCCTCTCTCTAAGTTTCTCACTCTACCCATCCCCCTCCCCACTCAAAAACCTTGGACGTAATTATTTTGTTGGTTGCGGCTAAGTCCGATCTGCCTTCAAAAAACTTTTCATTGATTTTCACTAAAAAACCATTGAATCTCTGTCCGGATCCTGAAAAAATGGCCAATTTTATCCAAGAAGAGGGTATTTACTATGATGATTATCAAGTGGTACGTACTCATTTTACCCAATTTTTGTTGTTGTTATAATGGTTTATTTAATTTATATACTAATTGATTTATGTTGTTGTTATGCTATCGTAGGTTGGGCTGGATGTTGATATATACAATCAACGATATTATGTTGATCAAGGACCGATTGATCCGACTATTTTATACGATGAATACAATCATTGTTCAAGAAACGTTTGGAACGACCACAAGGTACATATTATTTATCATCACTTGTAATTTTTATTTTGTTAATATAATTTATTTGTACAATAAATTACGTAATTGTTAATAGTATTGATTATTTTCAATAATTTAAATCAATACAATACAACACTTATTTAGACTCTTTATAAAGAAATGCATGTCTAAGGAAATGGGGTCTTAAGCAATCATCATGATCCTCCCATGACCTGGGAAAATCGGGTTCTAAGCAATCCTCGGATCCCCTCTTTTTCTGTCAAACAGACTATATTTCTAAGGAAATGTATATCTCTCCTAAGAGTCTTACAAGTGTACTTGTATTGCTTTAAATTATTGAAAACAATCAATACGAAGTACAAAATAATATATTTGATTTTATGTGTATGTGTACAAAAATAATTTTACTTAATTTCGAAAATGATATTCATTTTAGTTAACTTAATATTAATGTTTATTAGATAATGTATATTCCTCGGAAACAACCTTGATTTAATTAATTTATATTGTTTTTTTTATAATAGATTTATATATGTATAAATCATCAACTTATAGTGAAAGTTAAATTCTTCTCTAAGATGCATAACATATAGTCCGCTATAGGGGTACGACGAGTGTGCTTGAATGTAACGACGTCATCTTGCCCTCTCTAAAAAGGGCAAGATTGGATCCGATTAGGCACTTTAATGGAATAAAGATCAACTGCCAACTCATCGCATCATTGGTAGAGAGATGGCGAAAGGACACACTTTGCTTCAATTTTCGTGAAGGCGAGTGCACTATCACACTTAAGGACATCGCCATCCTAACCGATTTGCCCATCGATGGCGATGTTATTTGTGTGGACTCTACGCCACCAGCTAAAGTTATTGCCAATATGAGTGGTTGCAGCATTTTATATGGACCGTCACCAGGTTGTGTCTGCCAGAAAAGGGAGATCACGATGCGGATGGTAATCCACCATTGTCCACGGGCCAAGTATCAATCACTTGGTTGACAGCGGAGATCAGGCGTAAGCACAACCCTGAGATTGGAGGCATTCCCCTCACGGAGGAAAGTTCTGAGCGTGATAAAGAAATTTATGCACGTATCTACATCCTTGGCATGATCGGAGGAGTTTTCTTCCCAAAAAATCAAAAAATTTAAACAACAATTCATGGTTGAAGATCATATTTGGAAGTTGGGATGATATGGGAAACCTGAGCTGGGCATCTGCTTGCCTAGCTCATCTCTACCGCTCCCTCTGTAATGTTAATTCGAGAGCGGTGAAGAAGATTGATGGGGCCATGTTCATCGTCCAATTTTGGGTTTTGGAGCAAATTGTTGGCCCTTCGTAAAAGCTAGTGAGTGGACCCCATACTGGCACCTCTGATGGGAAGGATTGATGATGACCTCCAGTTCCATCATGATACTCCTGCCTTCGGCTCGAGTATTGGTACTCCTGGTGGGGATGATCTTCGTATAATACACTCCCACCGTGGATACCAGATGTTTGGCCATCTCCAGAATGACCTACACCGCCTTCAACCGTCTCGGTGTAAACGAACATCTCCGCTTGTTTAATTTTATTGGTGGTCAAAAATTGGACCATGGCATCAACGTTCTCCGGAGTGGTAATGAGGAATTCCTCATTCCACAACGACTAGCCATGTATTTTTGGATATCGATATACCATACGATCAACTCTTCTAGTGCCATACATGCAGGTAACCAGTGCACATTTGATGGAGCTCTTCAAGCATCGGTCTCGTACGAACCTTCATTTTATAAACATTGCCACCCACGTAACTTACACCCTTTTTGGTCTCTTTCGTGTAAGCATTCCACCGCATCCCAAGCGTGAACCTTTGGAATGCCATCTGCAATAAAACTGTGATTAAGTTACTGACATAAAAATCACAAATGACAATGAAAAGTAATACCAAACAAACTTACGAATTAACGTTAATCGCAAAAACTAAATAATTTAAAGGTGCACAACTGAAATTTGAAGAAGAAGGAGTGGAGTGAAGATTTTGAGTTTTCTGGACCTGCCTTTTATATGCAAATTTTACACTACAAACTGCAGGGGGGAGCGGTTTTAGTATGGCATGCAGCCCCCACCCATAGATTATTCTCATAGTGAACTATCAACAGAATATGTGAAACAAACTTTTAACTAAGTTGTGTCTTACATTCTTTTCAACTTCAACAATACCAAATGTAGTGTATATCAAATTAAAGAATTTGGCAATTGAGAACGAATTGGATAAACCAACTTCATACTATAAAGTTACACATTGAAACTCCAATAGATCACCTTGCATAATGATAAGCATTAAGGACTTCACATTTGCCTCTAATTATGGGGTCGTTTGAACAATAAGTCGAATGAAAAGTAGGATATTCTCTCTCGTTTAGCGAGGGTTTTGGATTTAGGGTTCCGTTGTCCTCCTTTTAGGGTTTTCCTGAAATTTGGGAGGTAGTAATAGCTCTACAACTCTTTTGGTTCTTGTGATTTGCAAGGATAGATTGGTTTAGCCTGTTTAGTTTCAATCCCAATCTTGCCTCCTACGGTTTAGGATTACGAGTGAGAGTTTCCTGGAAATCTTACTTTAAGGTGTCCGGGGTCTCGGTTTCTGAAACCCTACCTGCCTCACGCGGTTCAGGGTAAAGGGAGAGTTCTTTTATGTAGTGAGTTGGTTAATACAAACAATGCTTTCTTTGATTGATAATAGTCATGATGGACGGCAAAACAATAGAAGCCTTCACAACTACGACGAAGACAGATGGAAACGTGCAACATGATAGAGAGGGGAGCCCACCCCTAAACTTGGAGACTCAGCCCCTGAAGATCAAACTTGGAGATCAAGACATCTTGGTGGTGGAAGATGATGATATTGATGCAGCAATGGTTCAAGCTATCAGCCTTTTGGGCCTAGTGGGGCGATTGACGACACCGAAGAACCCAACCTGAAATCAATGAAGCTGGAACCTGTCTCGGAATTTCCAAGTAACATTAAGCTAGAGAACAATTGTTCGGCTTCCAGTTCCTAGAGAGAAGGGATCGAGATAAAGTCCTCTATGGGGAACCCTGGCACTATGAAAATAATCTACTAATTTTCAAGCAAGCAGATGTATTCCAGAAACCAAAACCAGAAGAGTTCCACATCATGGAAATCTGGATGCAGATCTATGACCTGCCAGCTGCTCTGCGCATTACGGAGACGATACACAAAATTGGAGCTCGATTTGGTACAATGATATGGGTGGATAGTAGAAGAGACAGTCAATGGGATGAGGTGCTAAGAACCAGGATTGGTAAGGATATTAGAACCCCCCTCAAACAAGAGCTGAAATTAAATCTGAAAGGGCAAGTTCGAAGTTTTGATGTCAGGTATGAGAAATTACCGATGTATTGCTTCTCGTGTGGTTTAGTGGGACATCCTAAGTTGAGCTGCCCTCAACCGACAGCAAATGGTAAGGCTCTGGTTGGTCCTGAATTGAGGGTCGGTCTAGTGAGAGACAGACCGTGGCAGAGCAAGCTGGAAAAAGAGGAATTAGAAGATATATGGCATGCTTTAAGAGCCAAATTTGACAGGGAAGCAATTACGGCCAAGAGACAAATAGAAGATACTGAATGCAACCAATCACTATCAAGAGACAGCATTGATGAGGTAATAAAGGAACAGTTCATACAGAAAGCCATGAAGGAATGCACAAAAGATCAAAACAGAACAACAATCTGCAAATGACATGAGAAGGTGGGAGGGACGGATACTGCAGAGCAAGAAGGAAATAATAAAGGAGCAAAGCCACAAGTGGAACATGAGACAGTGGAAGGAAAAAGTTCAGAGCAGGAAGAGAGAAGAGACACAAGGGCAACATACTCTCAAAGCAACACCATGCTCACTTTCAGTATAGGAAGCAACGAACAACAAATAACCCCTCAAAAGAAGTAGAAGCAATGGAAAAGACTGAATCAAAGGTCAAGAAGCCCTTAGAAAGCCAAATGACCCCACAAAAGAGAGGTAATGACCAAGTCCAAAAATCGAAACAAGAAACTCCAAAGAAGAAGCTGAAAGGAGACTCCCACAACTCAATATTGGATGGCGGTGAGGCGGCCTTGCTGAGCCCAATGAGTCTAATCAATTATAACTGTCGTGGGCTGGGGAGAACCACGACACTTAATAGAGTTCGAAGCAACTCAAAGTTGTAGACCCCAACATTGTCTTCCTCATGGAGACAAAGAGACAAGAGCATGAGTGGGAACAATGATGTTTGATCTCGGATGGAAGAAAGGAAGAGGTGTTGGATCGAAAAGATGAGCTGGAGGATTGCTTCTGATGTGGAAAGAGTAAACACAGAACTTGGGACCTATGAGAAGACTAAAAAATCAGCAAGCAGGGCCTTGGGTGATTTGTGGTGACTTGAATCAAGTTTTGGGCTATGAGGAAAAGAATGGAATGAGGCCTCCAGATATACAAATGTCACTCACAAAATTCACTCCAAGGTGATTGCAAATAGACTCAAAGGAATCCTCAATGCTGTGATAACAGAGACTCAAAGTGCTTTTGTCCCTGGCAGAAACATTACAGACAACATTATGCTTGCGTTCAAATGTTTTTTGGCTATGAAAAACAGGAATGAAGGAAAGAAGGGATATGTAGCAGCAAAATTGGATACCACAAAAGTCTATGACCGAGTAGAATGGTCCTTCCTAGAGGCAATTATGCTTAAGTTGGGATTTGATGAACGTTGGGTGGACCTAATAATGAAGTGTGTAACTATAGTTAGTTATTCTTCCTTGGTCAATGGTCATAAGTCGCCAGTCATTGTGCCTACAAGAGGTTTGAGGCAGGGAGATCCAATCTCCCCCTACCTCTTCCTTCTTTGTGCAGAAGGCCTCTCTGCCCTAACAAAAAAGGCAGCGGAGAGAGGAGAATTGCATGGAATCCGAGTAAGCAAGAATGGCCCAGAATTAACCCTTTTTTGTGTGTGCAGATGATAGCATTTTCTTCCTAGAGAATACTATAAAGGAGGCAGCAATGCTAAAGAGGATTCTCAAGCAATACGAGATCGAGTCAGGCTAGCAAGTGAGCCTAGAAAAATCAGAACAGACGTTCAGTAGTAACACTAAAGAAGTTCAGCGAGAGTACCATGATAAATATCTCGGCCTCCCTACTGTTATAGGCAGAAGCAAGAAAGCTGTGTTTAGTCAGCTTATAGATAGAGTCCGGAAAAAAGTAAAAAAGTGGAAGAGTAAGCTACTTTCAACAAATGGTAAGGAAATCCTGATCAAATTTATAGCTCAGGCACAAGCCAATTATGCAATGTTTGTGTCCTCATACCGCAAGGAGTAATCCGGGATATACAGAGTTTAATAGCGGGATTCTGGCGGGAGATACAGAGAATACACTGGATGAGTTGGGAGAAGTTGTGTCGATCAAAGAAAGAAGGAGGAATGGCATTCAGGGATCTTCATGGCTTTAACTTGGCGCTCCTAGGAAGACAGGTATGGAATCTGCTTAAAAATCCTACCTCCCTAGTAGCACAGGTCTTTAAAGCTAAATACTATCCCCCACTGCTCAATCCTAGAGGCTGAGATTGGAAACAACCCTAGCTACATTTGGAGATCACTGATGGCAGCTCAAGGGGTGGTTAGAGAAGGAACAAGGTGGAGAATTGGGGATGGCAAGCAAGTCAGACTGTGGTGGGATAAATGGGTACCTGAAGGACCTGATTATAAAGTGAAGACACAGATGAATGGACTGCATTGGGAAGCTAGGGTGGCGAGTTTGATTGATGAAGACACCAGAACTTGGAAAAGCAACTTTTTACAAAGGCACTTCCAACCAGGAGATCGAAAGAGAATCACTTAGATTCCCCTATCACAATATCCTCTAGAAGATATTAGGGTATGGGGACTCGAGAAACGGGGACGATACTCAGTCAAATCTGCCTACTATCTATGGGGAAGAAAAAATGAAGCTGATGAGAGTGAAAGATACGTCCCAATTGATTGGAAACGCCTCTGGCATCTGAAAATTCCGCTGAATATAAGAGTTTTCATATGGAGGTGGGGAAGTAACATACTCCCTACAGGTTCGAACCTAGTGCATAGGATTAAGGAGGCCTATGAGGGATTCCCTTTTTGTGGTTTACTTGAGATGCAGGAACACATTACCCGTGACTGTGATTGGGCTGGTAGAGTCTGGCGCCCTAGCTCGCTCAGCAAGATTTTTAGCATGGGAGACAAAAAAACCAACGAAGAATGGCTTTGTGAGGTCATGGAAACATCTATGGATGAGGAATTGAGTTCATTCATAACAGCCTTATGGTTTCTATGAAAGGAAAGAAATAATCAATTGTTCAATAATCCTAAGTTGGAAGATTGGGAGATTATTGCCCGTTCCATACAGTATCTAGAGGAATTCAAGGCAGTGCAAGAAAAGGGAACTTACCCAACAACATCGGAGAAACAGGATTACAGATGGGAGAGACCGATTGCTGGAACTTTCAAAGTGAACGCCGATGATGCAATTCTTCATGAAGGGGACACTGGCTTCGGGATGGTAATTCGTGACGGAGCAGGGATCCTCAAAATGGCAGCTGTAGACACCACATTTTGTCCGGGGTAATCGTTCTACTAAAAAAACAACTCGATGTAACATTGCTTAACAATTATATTTGGAAAGATAACTTGAAGTGAATTGGTTGAGACTAGCAGTAGCAAGTCGATATGAACCAATGATTATCAATTATTGTTCTATGCATCAAGATTAGGAATTTAGTATGCTTCCTGTTTTGGATGTTGATACAAATTACAATATATAGAGCACGAATCAGTAAAGACTAAAATAAACTTTGCTAATTGATTTCTTACATCGTAATTGTCATCGACATGGAAGGAAAATGTAATTATATGGGCCATTACAAATTCTACATATACAAAGAAAGACTAGTTCTTTTCTTCAGCCCTTCATTTTAGGCCCAGCACTGGAGACCTACAACATAAGAGAAAACCAGTC